TTAAAATAAAATCTCATTTTATACAACTTTCTTCTAATATTACTTTTCTGCCATTATATGTGCTGATCGTCCCCCTCCACCAATAAAAATGTTGAGGGGGCTAGAATAACGTCTCCCCCCCTACAATTATTTGAGGTAAAAAAAAATTAAAATTAATAAGAAATAAGATTCGAAAGAAAAAAATACATGTTTACTAGAAAACTGAAAGTGGGACAATACGTGGTAATGACAGTGTAGTAACTTCAGTAATTATAAAATTACACTATTATTCAAACGAACAACCTATGACAACTACATCAGAAATCTCTCAACCGAAGATGGAAGCTTGTGGAGACGTACCAAAACCTTTATTAAGCAAGTTGAAGTGTCAGCACCCCTTCGAAGAGAGGATGATTCCTGGGCCGTGACGGACGGAGAAAAATCAGAACTCTTTGCCGAATATCTTTTTTCTGTTTTTGTACCACACACAGACTTCACTAATACTGAACACGATAACAATGTACTAAACACTTTAGACGTGCCCTTACAACTAACTTCACCTCCTATTTCATTTACTCCTTCCCAGATTGCTCAACAAATCAAAAAGTTGCCTAAAAGAAAAGCTCCTGGACATGACTTGATTAACGCTGAAGTGCTCCAACAAATGCCTAGAAAAGCTCTAGTGCTTTTTTTTTGACTTGATTCTTCAACTCACACCTGTCAGAAGTTCCGACAATCAGCGAGTGTGATGTCAAGATGAAGAGATTGGTCTTGGAATAGGCGTGAGGGAGAGGAGTACCCAGCGGCGTCCTTCCTGTCTTGAGCGTAATATTTCTAGTTAGTGGAGGAGATCCCTCATTCAGCTTCTTTTAAGCCTCCTTCGGGTGCTATCGGGCATGTTAGTTGTGGCCATGCCTCGAATCAATGAGTTTGTATGTCCGTGTAAGTTATTATGAAATCGTTTGTAGTATGTTCGTATGTGGTCGTTAACTGTTGGCATCTGTAAGTCTTTATGTAGAGTAATGTTACTGACGTACCAGGGAGCTTTGGTAATAGTCCTGAAAGTTTTAGATTGAAAAGTCTGTAATTTACGTATGTGAGTCTTTTTGGCTGTCCCATATATCTGTAAAGCGTAGGTCCAAATAGGCTTGAGTAGGTAAGTATATGTATTCAATTTCTGTCTAAGTTTTAATTTCGAATTTCTTGCAAGGAGTGAGTACAATAGGCGTAGTCTTAGGTTTAAAGTTTTTGTTTTGTTTTTGATATGTTAGCCCCATGTCATTCTTCTGTCAAAGGTCAGTCCAAGATATTGAACTTTGTCTGTCTGAGGAATTTGGATATTGTCAAGGTAAATAGGGGGACAAGTTTCACGTCGAAGGGTAAAAGTGATATGTTGTGATTTGTCAAGGTTGAGTCGAATTTTCCAGAGTTTGCACCAGTCGTAGAAATTGTTTAGGTGATATTGTAAAGTCTGTGAGGCGTATGCTGAATTTTGATGTCTTGTCAAGATTGTTGTGTCGTCTGCGTAAGTCGCGGTCAGAGTATAGAGAGGATCTGGAATATCATATGTGTAAATAATATACAACAGAGGAGCGAGTACTGACCCCTGAGGCACCACTGCTAGGGCTGGTTTAATGGTAGATAGTTCTGTACCTTGGCAAACAGAGAAAAATCTCTAGTGCTTTTGACAACTATTTATAATCCAATTCTGAGGACAACTAAATTTCCACTACAGTGGAAATACTCACATATAATAATGATTCACAAGCCTAACAAGGACAAAAACTCACCTTCCTCATACCGACCAATCAGCTTACTACCTATCTGTTCCAAAATTTTTGAAAGCTTACTGAACAAAAGACTTGTTGATATACTAACAAACACCCAAATAATACCTGACCATCAATTTGGATTTAGGGCACATCACTCAACTGAACACCAACTACATAGAGTAAGGGACTATCTACAGCACTAGAGCAGAAAGTATATGCAACTGGCGTATTTCTGGATGTTGCTCAAGCGTTTGACAGTTTGGCACCAGGGTCTTCTCTTTAAACTCAAGACAATACTCCCACCTACATATTATCTAATTCTACAATCCTTCCTTTCCGATAGATTTTTCTCGGTCCGACAAGGGTCAGAACTATCTTCCATCAGGTCTATTTCAGCAGGAGTACCTCAAGGTTCAGTACTCGCTCCACTACTCTATATCACATACACCCATGACATATCTTGTAGTCCCAACATTTTAACAGCGACATATGCAGACGACACAGCAATTTTAGCAAGACAAAAAATCCAACATACGCCTCACAGACCCTACAACAGTATTTAAGAAGATTACATGACTGGTTCAAAATTTGGAAAATCCGACTAAATCAAGACAAATCACAGCACATCACATTTACGCTTCGACATGAAACATGCCCTCCAGTTTTCCTTGACAATACACAGATTCCACAGACAGACACTGTTCACTACCTTGGTCTGACATTTGACAGAAAAATGACGTGGGCCCACATATAATCAAAAAACGAAAAACGTTAAATCAAAGATTAAGAATTCTGTGTTCACTTCTTTCGAAAAATTCAAAACTAAAACTTAGACAGAAATCGAACACATACAATTACTTACTAAAACCTATTTGGACTTACGCATCACAGATATTTGGAACTGCTAAAAAGACTCACTTAAACAAACTTCAAATCTTTCAAGCAAAAACATTCAGAACAATTACAAAAGCACCTTGGTACGTTAGCAACATAACCTTACATACTGACCTCCATATGCCGACTGTTAACGAACACATACGTACTCATTACAAACGATTCCATGACAACTTACAAGGACATCCTAATACAACTTATAAATGACATGACCACTACGAATATACCAGATAAAGTCAGTGATCACGCCGAGTGAGGTGCCGCTGGGCACTGAATGCCTTTCATGACATTATATTTAGCAGCAATCGATCTCACATTCACTGGTTGTCATTACCATTATGACAGGTGTGAATAAAACATTAAAGCTAAAAAAATATTTAATAATTTAATTTTAAATATTTCATTATGAAGAAATACTTCTTCACCGTTTAAACTCAAGGAAAAAAAATCAAGTTAGACTTAACTAATTATGTAAAAGTTGTAGACTAAAACTTGCCCCTAAGATAAGAATCACCCATATATGAAATAATACTATGGTTTAGAACAAAAACAATATAATACAATTTCTAAAGATTGAATAAACCAGGTCACAAAAGCTACAAATTAATGTAACAGCAAGAAAAAAAAGCTAGGTCTTATCATATCCCGGATGAGTGTTTTAAATAAAGGGTTTATCGCAAGGTCGGTAGCAAGGGCAAAAAAGAAAGGAAGAAAACAAAATAAAAAGAAACAAAATAAAACAAGGGATACTTTCTCATAACCGCCGACGGGCAGGGAACGGGAACACGCTGAAGTGTCTTTCTAACACAAAATCACCACCTTCACAGATTTTCCACTCCCGCCATATTTTCTGATTAAGGAGTTTTCTTAGAGCTACAAAACATTTCGTTCTACTTTTTTCTTTTCTTGTCAAGAAAAAAATATAACATTTTGGTTTATTATTTTCAATAATGAACCACTGTAATCATCCGAAGAATTTAAGAAAACCTTAAGTTCTCATCAAAATTTGAGGTTTTACGTTTCAGGATACTTAGAATTCAAAAATCTAATAAAAACTTGTTGTTCGTCCGCCGTCCGAGGCTTTTCTCCGAGACTATAAGACCGATTTTTTTTCAAATTTGGAATTAAAGTCAGAGGTAACCCGAGGATGACCCTCCTGCCTCGAAATTATTATTCGCCCTTTCCTTCCAAGATGGCGACCGAAAAACCTGGTATAGACTCTAGCGCCTCAACAAATGTACCAATTTCAAAGAAACTTGAATGAGATACGTTTTCAAATCTCTCTCATCAGCGAACGATTTCACGTTGAAGGAGTTTTGGAGGGACTGTGATAAGTGGTAGTCAGATGGTGCATGGTCAGAAGAATACGATGGGTGTAATAAAACATCCCAGCTAAACTGCACTAACTTTTGCTATGTGATTATTGCGGAGTGTGGTCAGGCGTTGTAATGGTGTAATACAACAATTTTTCGATTGACTAGTTCTGGGCGTTTCCGTCGCAATGTTTGGCCTAATGTCGTTAGCTTGGTGCAGCAGATCTTCGAATCAATCGTTTTTCCTTGTGGAAAAAGCTTGTAAACCAGCACGCCGCGATAATACCAACATATGGAGAGCAAAATTACACCAAGTTGAAGTGGCATTATCCATCCAACCGTCGTCTGTACTTCCTTGCTACCTTTCTATACCAAGCCATTAGAACTCAGCGACTTTCCTATATTTTTCATAGCCTACAATTTAAATACTCCATTCAATCCCGTCCCACTAGATCCCATACTTCCGACCTCTATTCATCTCCTCACCGAACTGCTTTGTTTGATAAATCCTTTATAATTCAAGTCTTCATCTTCTTGAATACCACCCCTACCGATATCCGACATGCACAATCAGTTTCCTCATTTACATCTCTTCTTTTTAAGCACCTAATCCTTTCCCAACCCGATTCATCAAGATAAGAGAACTTTTTAAGTTCCCCCAGAAATGATTTTGTTTACTTATGCTATTTTATTTTCCCATGTTTGTATTATATATATCTGTGTGTTCTTATTGTTTTTGTTTTATTCTTTTTCGAATATTTTAATTTTAATGAGAATTGTAAATATTTTATTTAATGTATGGCCACACAGGCATTTTTCTGTATCCATAATTTGCATTAATCCTAAAGGCAGTCCCAGGATAATAAAATAATAATTTCATTTCATTTCAAAATCTTTTCGCATGTTGGCCTTCAGAGTGGCATTATACGGCTCGTTAGCAGTTTTCCACGATGTCCTGCACACTATATTGTCGTAGATGATCTAATTTTGTCACCATTCGTTTGAAAAATGGATCCCTTTCCGGAGCCGGTTTAGAAGAATTTCAAATTGATGTTAAGCCAAGCAGTTTTAAATGCCTTTGAACGGTTCCAAAACCTATTTTCAGTATATCCGCAATTTCGCGTACCTGTAGCGACCAGTCTTCTTCGATTAGAACCTTGATATCACTCGAAACAACGTCGGTGGACCGACCGCAACGGGATGCATCTTCGAGACTCGAATCTCCTGAACGAAATTTGGAAAACCAATTTTGAGCAGTACGTTCTGTTATGGCATCGTCCACGTATGTTTTACAAGTCTTTCGGTGGGCCTAATAAGTTCACTTACCATTTTTGAATAGAAAACTAAACTATCCCCAAAATGTACTTCATTACGCTTCAGCACAAACAAAACTAATGCCAATGAAGCCATCGAACAATAGTTTCGAAAACCTTGACTTTGACCTTTCCGTTAACTATCATTATTGACAGATAAGGTAAAGAGAATTGGAGATATTTGAAAACGAAAACCATCCGCACTAATGACAAAAACCGAACGAACTTATGAATCCACCCAATATAAACTCAAGTATCAACCAAAAAAAATAAATTGCATTTGTTCTTTGAAATATATCATAGTAATAAGTATACACAATTATATAGTGAATAAATATAGTATTCGTATAGTGAATAAAAAAAATATAATAAAAGAATAATGAAACTCCATATCCTGGAACGTAGGTGGAAAGTATACATTATGCTGTATAACATGTAGATAACAGCAATTTAAAGATAAGAACATTTTTTTCATTCTAGATTAATTAATAGAAGAACAATATAGATTAATTAAAAAAAAAACAAGAAAGATTATTATTGGGATTTTTCCGCAATACCGTACGGAAAAACAGAACCACCAAAATGCAATATATATATATATATATATATATATATATATATATATATATATATATAAAACATTTCCAAGTCATATTTAACTGTAAAATCCAATTTTTGCCAATCAAATTACATTTTTCCATGTCAAATTGATTTTTTGCAAACCACATTTCGAATAACCGCATAGCATAATGTTAAAATCCACAATATTTTCAAAAACTATGATAACTCATTTATTTTGACATTTATTAAATACACCCAATTATCCATATATTATTTACTAATTATCTATTATTATTATAAAAATAATCTATAGTAATCTGATATATAATTTTTAAATTTATATCACTGAAATTGAAATAGTCAACTTTTAAATAGAAATTGGATTTGAAGTGGGAATAGTTTAATTTGATTTGCAAAAAGTTTAATATGGCTTTGAAATGCTATTATATTATATATATGTAGCGATGATACAAAACTCGCAATTAACTATTATGGGTTAACTCTTATTAACTGTTGGTAAATAAGAGACTCAATGTACATAGGTCAGAATATCAACATTCGATGTAAAATCTATCTTGAACTTCCCTTTATCTTGAGCTCGACGTCTTCCGTTTATGGCACTAAACAGAGTACACACAATTTCTGTTCTTTTTTTTTTAAGAACAGAACGATCCAAGATGTCGATGTGGTTGATAAATCGATAAGTGGACAGTAATGATATTTCAGTAGCATGAATTGTAATATATTACAATATTAAAAAAGAAAAAGAAAAATACCAAGAGAAATATAAAGACAGAATCCCTCTTGTCTCATTTAATTCCAGTATTCAACTGGAGAATTCCTTACCGTTGAGGTTTTCCCCAATGTTAATAAGAGTTCCCAGGAAGCCCATAAAAGCTGGAAGGGGTTGGGGTTGAGGAAAACAGGGCCTCATGTGAAAATAAATTCGCCTAGGCGTTTGGGAGGAGGGGGGGGGGCGAGAGAGGAAGGTTGAGGTCTTGTTTTAATCTGCATATTTTAACCAATTAGGGAGTCGGATCCGAACAGCTCTACCACGACAGCAGGTGATCTAACCTACAGGTTCAGGCAGCTGGTGGAATGGTGGTTCTAACCTAAAGGTTCAAATAGTTTGCCTTGCTCTCTCTCACCCCCTGCCTCTCTTGTTTGGGATGGAGGGTCTGTAATTTATCGATCCTGCTCTGTATTAGATCGGCTGTAATGTCTTTAGATATTAGAACAGTTTAATTAATTAATAGGTGGTACAGACTGTTTAATGGCATCGTTATAGACTGCGAATTTCCAAGGCCAGATACTAATTTTGGTTTATTATTTTGAATAATGAACCATTGTAATCGAACAAAAAATTTAAAAAAACGTACCCCCTTCTCACGATATGTAGAATTCGAAAATCCAATGAAAATAAAAAAAACTTTGGGCTTTAGACCACACGAAAGAATTGAAAACATCAACAAGGCGAGAATAATAATATGATATATATTAAAAAAAAAAAAACCTGTACCACCACTACAACCCATGAAGGGTCTTGGGTTCAGTACTATGTGAGGAAATACTGTTTCAAGGCCAACGGTTGTGCAGGGAGGTGATGGGGCCGATATCACGCTCAAACGCCAGATTTTTTTTTCCCTCTTAATTATTTTTTATAATTAAGAGTACCCACTTTATAGAGGCTGTGTGTGCCCCAGAAGGGTCTACCGATCCCAGGGTCGATCAAGGACTAATGAAAAATTACTAGTCATAAGCCGGATTCGAACCCAGGATCTTGAGCTCTGGAAGTCAGTGCTCACCCACTGAGCTACCCCGCTCCCTAATATGAAATATAAATTATAAATAATAGCTCATTATTAAGATGATGAAATGCTGAACGATTTCCTAGATTACAGCATGCAAGTCCTATCTTTAGCTTCTGAGATATTTTAATCCAAATCTTCCATAAAAATCGTTATCGTTCAGTTTTCGACACTATTCGCCTATCTAACTCTGACCTCGAGTTAAGATACAATTTTAAATAACAGCTCAAAGATGAGGAAATGATGAACATTTCCCTCGCTAATAATATGTAGGTCCAATTTTTATTTTTTGAGATATTTTAATCCATATGGAAAAACACTTCAATTAGTCGACTCCAACCACAGGCGGATCTACGGGGGGGGGGGGGTCTTTCGGGCTGAAGCCCCCCTCCAAAATGGTAAAATATAACCATGCTTTACAGAAAAAAATATTAAATACTATCTCTTAAAGTATTCTTGTTCGTGTAATTATATTTAATAAGACTTCAAGAACCAATTAAACACTATTTCATATAGGTAGTTAATTTCTTTCCTTTTTTAAAAAATTAATTATCGTTATATGTATATGAAAAGAAATCTTTCGGGCTGAAGCCCCCCCCCCCCAAAATCAAATCCTGGATCCGCTAGTGACTCCAACCGACTTTACCCAAGCGTTTGTACTTCGGAGATCTAACGGCTCTATCTAATTATCTCTATATAAAAAAGTGCAAAACACACCTAAAGAAGTTTTCAAAAATTTGTGTAAGCCGTCCGCGACTTTTCTCCAAGACTACTGAATTTTTCGATTTTGAATCAAAGGCAGTGTTCATAAGATGATTCTCCTACTTTGATATTACGATCCACTTTTTCTTTAAAAATAGCAGTCGAAATACTTGAGTTGCTTTAGAGTGTAGCGCCTAAGCGGATGTGAAAATTTTAACGAAAGTAGGCTACATTATTCTTCTCAAAACCCTTTAAATTTATGTAGATGCTTCCCCGAAAAGAAACTGGGAAAAAAAAGTTAAGAAGAATACAAAAATTTGATTTTCGAATAAATCAAAAAGTACACAATTTTAGGTTCATTAAACCTATGAGTGTTTGAAACTCTCCTGAATTTCCTACAAAATGAAAAAAAAAATCACTGAAATCGAAAAGAATGATCGATAAATTATTTTTATTCGATTTTACTTTTTACACATAATAGAGCTCTATCAAAACTATTTTATACTTGGCACATTGCTGTTATATAGGTAAAATGTTGAATTTTCAAATAAGCTCAACCGCCATGTTTCCCTCATTAAATTAAGAGGGCTTTTAGAGGCTGGTAAACGGCTAGTAAAACTGAATAAATAATTACCTGCCATAAGCTGGATTAGAAACTGAGACCATGAAGTTACGAAGTTGGTGCCTTACCCACTGAGCTATTCCACTCCCCGGTGCGATCTATCAACTTTAATTTAAGCCCACCTCATACTAGACTGCCAGAAACTGCCAACAGATTCCGACTACTACAACACTTACTTGACAAACGCTCTAAACTTCCAATATTCTACAAAAAACTCATTTACACTAACTACCATCATTAGGCCCATTTGGACATACGGTATTGAGCTTTGGGGCTCTACAAAAACATCAAATTCTTCCCATATCCAATCCTTACAATCCAAAATCCTAAATGCTCCGTACTAGATATACCTCTTTTCATTCCAGACTCTATTGCCACCCCAATCCTCTAGTTTGTAACCTTTCATCAAACACAATTCCTGACAACCCTCCAAGGCGTCTGAAAAGAAGAAGGCCAAGGGACCTCCTAAATTAATTTATTTTTAAAGTGTTACCAATGGGTACCATTGATAGATCTCTTAAAGTTCAATAGTATCATATTTTCGTTCTAGTTATTTCCTGGATAGTTTTTGACGGCAATATATCGTTCCTATAATCAATTAAGTCTGTATTAAATGGTTCCAGGAAGTATTATTGAAGTGGAATTTCTAGAAATTCTGATAAATCGTTCGAAATGAATTAGAGTTTATTGATGTTCTTATCAATGAATCGATGTAATCAAACATTCTTTGGAAAAAATAGATGTTGAGTTCGTTCATTTATTACATATAAAATGAACGATTCGTCAAATATTAATCCAAAATTTTATCAGATGTAGTAGGGTAATTTTAAATTAGAAAAACTAACTAAATATAAAATTTAATGCACATACTTTTAATTACAATTTGGAACGTTATACTATGGATATACTATGCGATTTATTATCATGAGCCAACTAATATAAGTATATTATGGCTATGTTCCTACATTCAGTACTAATTTCTATCGAAGGAATCAATCAATCTATTAAATCCAGTACCTATAAATAATTAAGTGTCAGAACAGAAATATATATAGATAGAAAGTAGACCGAATTGAAATAGGTAAATTAAATTGAGGAATAACAACATAAAGGTTATAATGAGGTGTAACATCAAAGGATCCATCGACCCCAAGAGTCTAAGGAACAACTGAGCCATCGGTGGCTCAATCGATGAACAAAGGGACCCACTGAATTCCATCTATGGATCCATCGATGAGGTCAGGAATATCCCGATAAATTTCCAATACCAATCAATGAACTCAGCATGAGTTTAAGAACTTGGCCTATGTATAAAGCATAATCAAAATAGATATCTCATAGAAAATTACTTAAAATGTTAACAAAGTGCGTTTCAACAGTCTAAATAACATAAATAGATATAATTTAAGATATCAAACTTGAAAATCTATTAAGCTGTTCACTCAAAAAATCGTTACACATCTTTGCAAATCGATTAAACACATTTTATTCAATAAAGTGTCAGTGATTTTAGGTCAAATTGTTTAAAAAAATTGACGAGACCTCACAGAATAATTTGAGGCATAAAAATCGATCAGCTGTTCGCTCAAAAAATCGTTACATTCATTTACATGGCTTTGCCATAGTCGGATTAACACTGAGCCCATGATGAGCTCAGCATGAGTTTAGGAACTTGCCCTAAGTATAAACCTTAAATCAAAATAGACATCTCAAAGGAAATGAGTTAATTTTTTTTATAATATTCAACAATCTAAATAAATATATTGTCAACTGATTGTGAAAGGTCGCTACCATAAGTACATTTTTGATGGGCCTTAACTTTTAAGATTATTTATCTGAATTACAACCTTCTAAATCAAGTTGAATAATTGATATTAAATATAACCTCTTTGTATATCGAATATAGTTACAACAAGTACATGTTTTTGCGATTTCACAGAGAGAAAATTCATCATGTTCATCGTGTTATAAAGTTATGAAATATCACTCAATGATTAATTGCAATTAACCGACGATATGTATCTTGCAAGTATATTACCTCAGTATGTTAAGAGGAATGAAATAAGAACTTGTGAATTATAAAACTGACCATAGTTCTATTAAATTTATATCTCCTAATCGTATTTACCAAGAATATGACACCGAGTCAGTTTCACGCTACTGGTGTCCACAGAGGTAGGAGATGAAAGGAGGTATAAATAAATGAAAACGGACCTAGCTCCTTGCCTTTGGTAAATAAGTAATGCCTTTGTGACGTGGCCGGGAGAGTGCAGCGCTATCTGTTGGAACTTAGCGCTGATATAGTGGGCCCGAGGGACTCACTCCGGACTACACTCTCATCTCTCCTCTAGTGATAACACTCTTGCTTCAACTCCACGTTTTATTTTTCTGATTACACACGATTTTATATTCAAGATGTGCGAGGAAAGATAATATTATATAATATAAACTCCATAAATAAAACAACTAACTGACGGAACGATAAAATGATAGATCATAACTAGGTGGCTGTGCGAATAATTAGTATAGTATATTTGTGAACAAACGACAAAAACATAAGGAAATAAGTTAATTCATTAGTGTAATAAGATGGTGGAATCTATTACATATTACTAATTGTAATTGTAATTAGATACTAAAAACTCATAAATACTTACTATCCACTTGAATCGTAAGATAAATTGGTCATAAAATTGAAAAAAGAGGTGGCCTACATAAGTATTGGCCAGTTTGGCCTATATAACCTCGTTGTTTGGACATGTTGGGGGTTATGGACACGACCAACGACCCAATCTTTTTATA